TCGTGGATCCGTGGAGCCCTCATCCCCGGGAGATCAATCTACATGATCCCGACATCAACGGACTCTGCACCACCTGCCACACACCCGCGGCGAGCCGCACGGAGCAAGTCGAAAGAGAGTACGTGGCGATCCAGGAAGCAGAAAGCGCCGAGGAGGAACCCACTGGCATGACTGAAGAAGAGCTCGCTGTTGGAACTTACCGCATCTTCGGCGAAAGAAACGACCAATTCGGCCATCAGCCCGCACCGCGCCCAACGCCACGGCCAGACACACTCCGCTTCATGCTTGAAGCCAACACCGGCACAAAGGAAAAGAAAGGTCACCCGCGCCCGTACACTCGCAAAGTTTACCGCCGCGAGATCGACCCGGCCTGGAAAGATCCTGACGCTAAAGGGGAGATGAGCATCAAAGAAGAAGGGGAAAAGGCCAGGGCAGAAAAGAAACAGAAGTTATACGAAGAGCGCAAAGCGGCCGGCTGGAGTGAGGAGTCTGCACGCCGAGGTGCATGGGGAGACGAAGATTACGAATCGGAAGAAGGCGCTACTTGGGGATCAGCTACTGGGGCTTGGGGAACGAGGGGCAGCTGCATGGTTACCACAGGAGGATGGGGCACGGAAGAAACAAATGAGGCAAAACTGACACAAGAAGAACTGGAGGAAGCAGAACGAGAGATGAAAGCTGAACGCGGGGAAGAGTCACCTCGCGTCGCCATTCCTCTCGGCCGACCGCCATCCACTTGCTCCCTCCCCGCTCACCCTACCGATGGGATATCACCTGGACGGAGATTGAGGAGTGGAATGTACCACCAACCCCAGCTCGAGATTCACTCGGTCTAATCTCTCGTCCATATCCATTCGCTCGCCTCATCGAAGGCACGACAACGCCGCTGAACATCAGCCCCGGCTGCGAATTTCTCGCCCTCTATCTCACAACGGCACCTGCAGAAGGGGAGACAGCAACAGAAGCAGAAGGAGAAGAAGCAGAGGACGAAGCAGAGCCAAGAGAAGAGGAGGAACCCCCACTCCAAATTCCGCAGGAGACGAAGGCGGAAGCAGCGGAGCATCACGCACGCTACATGCGCACCAGCGGCATTCGCGCAGAAGAGGACCTCTGGCACCAGCGACTCAGCCACCCCTCGCGCCAGACCCTCGCCAACTGCCTCCGCGCCAAAGTCTTCCTCCCAGGAGCACTCCTACGCCCCGACGACACTGAACCTCACAACACCCCACACCCAATTACCTGCACCGTCTGCCCTATAGCAGCCCTCACTCACAGCGCCTACCCCTCTCTGGAACCCGCCAAGCACCAACCGCTACAAGAAGCTGCAGAAGGTGTACAGCGACTTCATCGTGCTCACATACGACGGAGTCAATGGTGAAAAGTACACGCTGACCTTCATCGACGCCTACTCGCGCCACGTCTGGATTGCCAACGTTGACGCACGCTCCAAGGCTCCAGAAGTCTTCCGCATCTGGCTCGCACACGCACAACGGCAGTCGGGGAGGAAGCTGAAAATTTGGCAAAGTGATGGCGCCAAGGAGTTTCGCAGCCACGAGCTGGAGAGTGTTCTCACCGAGAAGGGGATTAAACATGAGATTTCCCTCCCCTACGCTCACCAACAGCAAGGCGTCGCGGAGAGGGTCAACCGTACTCTCATGACAAAAGTGCGCGCCCTCATGAACCAGTCCGGCCTGCCCAAGAAATTATGGCCTTACGCCATGAACCACGCGGTGCGCCTGTACAACCTCCTCTCCACCACGGCCAACAGGGACAACCTTTCCCCACACATGAAGTGGACACGCTCAAAGGGAGACCCCTCCATGCTGAGGGTTTGGGGGTGCATGATACAATACCGGCCGACTTCTGCTGCAATCGGCAAGTTTGCCCATCGCGCATACTGGGGAATTCATCTGGGGCTCAGCAATGAGCACAAAGGCTGGCTTATCCCCGACATTGACAGCAAGGAGATTGTTCCCGCGCGCGATGTTCTCTTCTACGAACGGCTCACCTTGAAGCAGTGGATCAAAGACGAGAGGCGCAACGAAGCCGTAGCTTTGCATCTCCCGAAGATGAAGCAGCAGCAGCGGCATTCGATCGCGACGACACCGACGACCATCCTAATGTTCCACCTCGCCCCCGCACGGACGATGAAGACGACGACAGCGACGATGCTCCCGCGCCTGGACCATCCCGCCAACAAGCCGAACCAAGCACGTCCTCACCTGGCCATGAGAGAGACGATGACGATGTGGTGGAAGTCCTCATCACCAACACCGCGGACACCGCAAACGTGTCTGGCCTGCAACTTCTCGGCCTCCACACCTCAGTCTCCACCCTCGCCCTCGCCGTCGAACCTAAAAATCTGCGCCAGGGCCTAACCGGCCCACACGCCAAGGAGTGGCGTGCAGCAATGGATGTTGAAATAAAAGCGCTGGAGTCCCGCGATACATTGTTCTTGTCGATCGTGCAGCAGTGAAGGGGAGGAGGGTGCTAAGCGGAAAATGGGTTTTTCGGCTCAAGACTAACGCTGACGGAACCATTGAGCGCTTCAAGGCACGATGGGTCGTACGCGGATACGACCAGCGCCACGGCATCGACTTCGATAAAACCTTCGCTTCCGTCTGCCGTCACACCTCCGTCAGGATTCTACTCGCCATAGCCGCCGCTAAGCATCTGCCACTGCGACAGATCGACGGGAAGAATGTATTCTTATATGCGTTGGTGGACGCAACCATCTTTGTGGAACAGCCACACACCTACGGAGAAGGAGACCCCAGGGTCTGCCAGCTGAAGAAATCCCTCTATGGGATCAAGCAGGCGCCTCGTCTCTGGCAGCAACACCTGCACAAGATTCTGCTCGAGATCGGTTTCAGGCAGCTGCCGCACGACCCGGGAATGTACCGCCTCCACCTCAATGGCGACTACATCCTCCTTACCGTCTACGTCGACGACCTGCTGTACACCGGCACCTGCAACCTGCTCCTTAACCAGTTCGAGGAAAACCTGGCGAAGCGCGTGGATATCACCATCAACCACAAAGTCACTCAGTTTTTGGGCCTGAACATCACCTACGCGCCAGAAGCAATTCATCTGTCAGCCTCGAAGTACGCAGAATAGCTGGGGGAACGCTTCAACATCTCACGCGCACCACTCTCAACTCCCTACCGCAACCCCAGCACCAACTACAAACCGGACAACAAACCTCTGTCCCCTGCCGGACTCCAACTGTACCAGCAGCAACTGGGCTGTCTGCTGTTCGCATCTGTCACCTGCCGACCCGACCTTTCGTACATCGCCAGCCAACTGGCACAGTACTCCCGCAAGCCAGTAGCCGAGAACCAGCTGGACCTGGAGCGCGCCCTGCAGTACTTCATCTCCACACCTGACATCGGGCTCTCCTACTCCACGCTGTCAACAACATCCTTCAACCTCAACGGCTACGTGGATCATGCTGCTGACCCTACGAATCGACGGTCCCAAACCGGCTTCATCTTCCGACTGGAGCCCACTGGCCCCATCTCTTGGAACTCGCAGAAGCAGGAACTGGTTGCCCTGTCGTCGGCTGAAGCAGAATACATCGCCGCGACAGCAGCAGTTCGCGAAGGTCTGTACCTGCAGGAGCTGTTACAGGAGGCGAAAATTCCAACCTCGCCTACCTTTCGCCTGCACTGCGACAACCAGAGTGCGATCAAGATCGCAAACAAGCCTGGGTTTGTGAATCACACGAAGCACATCGCACTGCGGTACTTCTTCGTCAAGGACGAAATTGACCAGGGCAAGGTTGACCTTGCGTACTGCCCGACCACTGAAATGGCAGCCGACTTCCTCACCAAGCGCCTGCCACGTCAGCAGTTCAAGCACTGCTCCGACCTCACCGGAGTGGTCAAGCGAGTCAGCACCCTTCGCGTCCAGGAATGAAGGGGAGTGTTACGATATGAAGTTTTTATGAGAAGGCATTCCTGTATGCTGCAGGAGCCGACTCTACCGAGTACGAAGACGAGGAGTCAGAAGAGTCGAAGCGACACAGCAACCGTCTGATCAAGACCGATGCAGGCAGAAACATTTGAAATGAAAAGAGCGGGAACAGGTTTGAAAATGATTCCCGTGCCGCACGGTTTGAATTTGAATAAAGGAATGTACCCCTTAGAGTACATGGCTAGTCTAGATCGTTTCGCATTCCTTTGTATTTCTATATAAACCCTATGTATGCATGCTATTATCAATCTCAGTCATTTACATTCACTCTGACCTGAGTTCACTACTTCCGCTGCGACACTACCTGCGATCAACCCTGAACGATCCTTTCGCTAAGTCACACTTCAGATTGTAACAGTTTCAAAAAGCACCAATTCAGGTGAAACAAATATAAGCCCACGCGACTAACTTGTTGGGGAATATGGTATAATTAATTTGCCATTTACTTCTTCTTTTAACATTTTCTCGTATATCAGCTCGATTCTTTAGTGTATGAATTCGTCTAGGCTCTTTTTTTTTTTTTTTTTTTTTCGACATCGAAAATATTTCGAGTGAAAAATCGTCGAGATTCACTGCAGTCGTTGCTCATCCTTGTTGCAGAAGAATGAGGTGATGATGAGAATTGACTCACTCGCGAATGTTTTTACGGGTACAGTCACCTAGGAGTTTTTTGGAAGCCGACATCGACAAGACGAAAACAATAAGTGTTGCCGGTCGCATTCGTCATCAGAATGTTGACCGACCGAGTTACAGAAGCATTATCACTTTCCAGTAATTCCCATTTTTTCTGGTCGGGACACGAGAGAAGGTCAACGAAACACTAAAAGACGTTTTAGTCCGATGCTGCTGGGCTGCCTGGTGTTCTAGTAATGAGCACTGATTGTACTACCACCGTCCAAGGACAGTTTCTGGCAGATTTGGCAGGTTCCCCACGTGTGGTCCTTTCTGCATCAAAGAAAAGCTTGGGGAATGCTGGACAGTCATATCTTCTAGCACAGCATTGTGGGCGACGATAGAAAAGAGCCATGGCGATGATCTGGTGCAGCACTTGGCAGACACATGTGGCGGCACCCAACCGCACCGAAATGAAGGTGCACCAGTGTTTTGGAATCGACACGCCACATTCCATTTCTGAGGGGTACTTTCCGCACCGTACGCGAAAGGAGTCGGTCGCACCGATCTGGTGTTTGGCTCCTGTACAAAAGCACTTACTACTAGTAGTGAACGACGCTGACGGCGTTGGTATTCATTTTAAAGATGATAGTGCGAATGGCGGCGGAGGTGGCGGTGTGGATGGGGCTTGCGGGCGTGCTGGCGGGGCTGGTGGCGTGGAGGGTGCAGAAGGGCTTCGACGACAATCGCAAGGCGGAGCTCGACACCTGGTGCGCCGGTCGCGCGCGCTCGCTGCAGCAGCAGTTCATGCAGACCGCGGATCACGTTAAGGTAGTAGACGGTCGACACGCGGTGGTAGATCGACGACCATCTGGCACGTGTATAGTACCAGGCGAAAGGTGTGGTGTGCCGTGTGACAGTCCTAGCAGTTCATGTCCGCGGCCGACCACGTGCGGTACCTGCGTTGCATTGCGTTGCGTCTGCGACGCGTCGCCTCGGCTTCATTGCATCGCGTCGCGTCGCTTCGGCTTCATTACATCGCGTCGCGTCGCCTCGGCTTCATTGCATTGCGTCTCGTCGCTTCGGCTTCATTGCATCGCGTTCCGTCGCTTCGGCGTCATTGCATTGCGTCGCGTCGCTTCGGCTTCATTGCATTGTGTCGCGTCGCTTCGGCTCATTGCATTGCGTCGCGTCTCTTCGGCTCATATTATCGCGTCGCACGCGTTCGGTGCGTCGTCAGTGACGGAGGTTCATTTTCGCGCGCCGCGATAGGGTCATCCCTTGGCTTCCTCGTTCCCTCCGCGGTTACTCCCGCACGCTCAGCGTTCTCGTCCTTCCACCGTTTGCTTCTCGCGCTTCCTTGGAAGGCACGACAAGCGGATCTGCTTCTGGTGATTCTTGTTTGTCGGGGGTAGGATAACAAGAAATCTATAATTACAGATAGTTGTAGTAAACGTTATAACTACTGTACACCTCCCTTAGAAATGTGACGTTTTTTCCAGTGTAAACCCTTCGTCGTCGCAGCTTGAGAGTCGGGAGAGTCGCAGCTTAAGATCCGAGGAAGGGGCAATCGGGATGGTGGGAAGGTGGTTGTGCATTTCTCGTGCTCCTCATTTCCGTCCCCATGAGTCCCCACTTATTCCCCCCCCCCATACATGTCAGGATCGTAGACGCTATACTCGACAAAAGTCTGCGTGCTATTGTCGATTGCGTTCTCCTCGTTCCCACGATTCCAACGATATGCGCAGCGTTTAATTCCGTCAACGTTTGACTAACGTTTTACTGTTTTCTGTCTCACCAACGCTTGACTGGCGCTTCACTGGCGCTCTGCGGAGGAATTCGGTTCGCGATTCCTTCACATTGCCGCCCGCCCGCCCGACCCTGTTGCTGGTCTTCCCAGGGTTCTCCCTCCCCTCCCACCCTCGCCTGCTCCTCCCTGTCTTCCCTGTGTCGAGGGGCGGCAGCGCGCCGCTCCTCACTCCTCCTCCTTCCCCCCGACGACTGCTCCTTTGCAGACGCTCCACATGGACGTGTGGGGCCCAGCCCGAGTCCGTGGTCAGGGTCAGGAGAGGTACTTCCTGATTGTTGTTGACGACTTCTCGCGCTACACCACGGTCTTCCCCTTGCGCACCAAGGGTGACGTCCCTGATGTCTTGATCCCTTGGATCCGCAGATCTCGTCTCCAGCTCAGTGAGCGTTTCCGCTCCGACTTCCCTGTCCTGCGTCTGCACTCTGACAGAGGTGGGGAGTTTTCCTCTGGCCTCTTGGAGGCCTTCTGTCAGCAGGAGGGCATTGAGCAGTCGTTCACGCTTCCGGCCTCTCCACAGCAGAATGGGGTTGCTGAGCGCCGCATTGGCTTGGTCATGGAGGTCGCTCGTACCTCCTTGGTTCATGCGGCTGCCCCGTCCGATACGCTGCGCATCAGCTCAACCTCTAGCCCCGTGTCTCCTTACCGAAGACTTCTCCGACACTGCGTTGGACGGGAGAGGCTGGCGATGCGTCGCGTTTTCGGGTCTGGGGATCTCGAGCTTTTGTTCGCGATACGTCCGCGGACAAGCTCTCCCGTCGAGCTGTCCCCTGTGTCTTCCTTGGCTTTGTCCCGGACGCGCCTGGTTGGCAGTTCTACCACGCCACCTCGCGTCGTGTCCTGGCCTCTCAGGACGTCACTTTTGACGAGTCCGTCCCCTACTACCGCCTCTTCCCCTACCGCACTGCCCCGCTCCCCCCCCGCCTCTCTTCCTCGCTCCAGGTGCTGAGGTACCAGACCCCCTCCCCCCTCAGGGTGCCGCTCCCTCAGGTGTGTCCCAGGTAGACCCGGTTGAGCCTGTCGAGGTAGCTGTTGACTCTCGTCCTGCTGGGGGTGCTGAGCCTGACCGTGAGGAGTCTGGGGGTGCTGGGCCTGGGGGTGCGGAGCCTGGGGGTGCGGAGCCTGGGGGTGCGGAGCCTGGGGGTGCTGAGCCTGGGGGTGCGGAGCCTGGGGGTGCGGAGCCTGGGGGTGCTGAGCTTGGGGGTGCTGAGCCTGGGGGTGCTGAGCCTGGGGGTGCTGAGTCTGGGGGTGCTGAGTCTGGGGGTGCTGAGCCTGAGCGTGCTACACCTGGAGGAGCCCTCTCCTCCCGGCAGCTGCAGGAGCGGTACCTACAGTACTGCCGCCTCCGGAGAGGTGCTACTGGAGCTCGTACCAGTACTTCCCCTCCTGCCCAGGAGCTCCCCCCCATTCAGCAGATCCGAGAGTGGTACACGCGGCGCTGCAGTCTTCGGAGTGGTGCTCCTGGTGCTGCGGACCCTGAGGGTGGCGCTGCTACTAGTGAAGAGGACCCGGGCGTTGGAGCTGCTGCTGGTGCTGCGGACCCGAGCGGTGGCGCTGCTGCTGGTGCTGAGGACCCGGGCGTTGGAGCTACTGCTGGAGCTGAGGACCCGGACGGTGGAGCTGCTGCTGGTGCTGAGGACCCGAGCGGTGGAGCTGCTGCTGGTGCTGAGGACCCGGACGTTGGAGCTGCTGCTGGTGCTGAGGACCCTGCCGCTGGTGTCTCTGCTGGTTCTGGAGACGCTACGCGGCCGCGACCGTACTTCGTACCACTTCTTCAGCAGGTTCTTGGTCAGGCTCCTCCTCCTTGTCCTCCTCCCTCCGTAGAGTGTCCTCCGCCTGTCCAGTCGCAGTCACAGTTCCCGCCTGCCTCGCCTCTCCCTGGTCCCTCTCCTTACACTGGTCCCACAGGAGGTCTTACAGAGCGTCGTGAGCCTGAGTCTCGTCCTGCGTCGCCTGTTCGTACTGCTCGCACTGGTCGTCGTGTCCCACGTGAGCGTCCTCCTCCTGTCCCTGGCACTCACTACATGACTCTGCGTCCCTCCACTGCTCCTCAGCGTGTTCCGCTGCCGTCTCCTCCTGCGTCCTCTCTGCCTACTCTTCCTGATCCGGAGTCTGACTCCCGTCGTGCTGCCAGTCCCACTGTCACCCGTCTCCTCGCTACTGTTGTCACTGACCCTACCTTTGAGTCCTCTGCTGCGTCTGCTCTGGTCGCTGAGTTGATAGACTTTGCTGCCCGGTGTCGTCTAGACTACGCCACTAGCCTTGTTGCTGAGTCTGAGTCTGAGTCTGAGTCTGTCTGTCCTCCGTCCGTCGGGGGTGAGTGTGCTCTTGGCACGGACGTCCTTGAGGACAGACAGGAGGAGTTCCAGTGCTTTGCTGCTGCTTTACCCCACCTCGTGTCCATGCTAGTTGCCCCTGAGGGAGACCCGGATGCACCAGACATCCCGACCCCGCGCACTTACGCTGAGGCGATGGCGGGTCCCTACTCCTCTCAGTGGCAGACAGCCATGGACGCAGAGATGGCTTCTTGGAAGTCCACAGGCACCTACGTCGACGAGGTTCCCCCACCTGGGGCGAACATCGTCAGTGGCATGTGGATTTTCAGGGTGAAGCGGCCACCGGGTTCTCCTCCTGTCTTCAAGGCGCGCTACGTGGCTCGAGGCTTCAGTCAGCGAGAGGGAGTTGACTTCTTTCAGACCTTCTCCCCCACCCCGAAGATGACCACTCTTCGGGTGCTGCTGCACATAGCCGCTCAGCGCGACTACGAGCTTCACTCACTTGACTTCAGCACTGCTTTCTTGCAGGGCAGCCTGCACGAGGAGATCTGGCTGCGCCGCCCTCCTGGCTTCACTGGGTCGGTTCCTCCTGGTACCCAGTGGAGGCTTCAGCGGCCGGTCTACAGTCTCCGCCAGGCACCGCGTGAGTGGCACGACACACTGAGGACGACACTTGCGGCTCTTGGGTTCGCTCCCTCTACTGCTGACCCGTCACTGTTTCTACGCACAGACACCTCACTGCTGCCGTTCTACATCCTCGTGTACGTCGACGACTTGGTCTTTGCCACTGCTGACACCGCGGCACTCGCCCACGTGAAGTCGGAGCTGCAGAGGAGACACACGTGCACAGACCTAGGTGAACTGACAAGCTATCTTGGCTTGCGGATCACCTGGGACAGAGCACGGCGCACCATCACCTTGACTCAGTCACACATGGTGCAGCAGATCCTTCAGTGCTTCCGCTTCACGTACTCCTCGCCTCAGTCCACTCCTCTGCCTACCGGTCACTCGCTCTCAGCTCTGCCTTCGGATGAGTCCGTAGAGCCGAGTGGCCCGTATCCAGAGCTTGTGGGCTGCCTCATGTACCTGATGACCTGCACTCGACCTGACCTTGCATACCCTCTTAGCATCCTTGCACGCTATGTCGCTCCTGGCCGTCACAGGAAGGAGCACATGGATGCCGCTAAGAGGGTGTTGCGCTACTTGTGCAGTACGTCGGGCATGGGGCTAGTGCTTGGAGGGCGAGACCGAGTTGTACTTACTGGACACTCAGACGCTTCTTGGGCGGACGACCAGGCTACTCAGCGGTCGTCTCAGGGTTACACCTTCAGCCTTGGCTCCGGCTCAGTTTCTTGGCGTTCTACACGCTCTTCTTCTGTTCTCAGCTCCAGTTGTGAGGCTGAGATCTACGCCACAGCCATGGCTGCCCAGGAGCTACGCTGGCTGACCTACCTGCTGACCGACTTGGGAGAGCGGCCTCGTTCTCCTCCAGTGCTGTACGTCGACAACCAGGCTGCCATTGCCTTGTGTGAGGAGCACAGACTGGAGCACAGAACGAAGCACATCGCCCTTCGGTACTTCCTTGCTCGAGAGCTGCAGCAGCGTGGTCAGCTTCGTCTGCGTCACGTGGCCACTGAGGCCAACCTTGCTGATGTGTTCACCAAGGCGCTTCAGCCTTGTGACCATCAGCGTTTCTGTACTCTTCTAGGCCTTGTGCCTGCTGGACCTCACTTACTTACTTCTTGACTCTGCTTGTACTGTGATCTTTATATATATGCCTGCATGTTTACACTTGCTAGGTTGTGATCACTGTATCTCTTGCTATATTATCAACCTGCATGTGAACTGGTCTTGTGACCACTTGCTTGTGCTCAGAATTTGTGTGGTATCCTTGAGATCCACCCTGAGCTTGTTTTGCTTTGCTTTGACTGGTCTTGTGACCCCTTGCTCTCCCCCACTTTGCCTATGGGGGTGTGTCAAACATTATATATGTTGTGTTTGTTTAGGCTACAGTGGGTTAGCCTATAGGGGGTACACAATTCTAGGGTTAGGTACTTGTACTGATTTCACTGCTAGTTCAATCATTCCTGTCTGTTGATTTCAACATGGTATCCAGAGCAGGCCTTTCCTAGGCCTCCTAGTTTTATTTTCTCGCCATGGGCCCACCCCTCGCCCTCGTACCAGCGCGCCCTGTTAGCACGCCGCGAGCTGGCTGCCCCGTCCCGCAACGCTCGCCCCGTCGCGCTCTGCCCGTGGCGAGTGTGCCAGCGAGCCGTGGCGAGCGCGCCAGCGACGGTCGCCAACGGCGTTCGCCAGCGCCAGCGAGGACGCCAGCGCCGTACGGCGGGCGCCAGCGCCAGCGCCGACGCCAGCGCCGACGGCGGGCGCCAGCGTTAACGGCGGGCGCCAGCGCCAGCGCGACGCCAGCGCCCAGCGCCAGCACTTTTGCGCCAGCAAATGGGGGATGAGGGGGTGGCGAGAGGGATCCTGCAGCTTCAACTGCCACCCTCTCTCCCCTCTCTCTCCCTACTTGCTGCCGCGGGGGGAGAGGGGGGGTGGTTGAGGGGGTGATAGGAGAGCATCTGCAGCTCCAGCCCCCTCTCTCTACCTACTCCTCACCTTCTCTCCCGCAACTGCCTCTCCTCCAGTCCTCCCTCTTCTCCTTTTTTTCCAGCCGCTTCCTCCGTTTGTATGCTCCTCCAATCGTCTCGGCCGTTGTGGGGAGGAGGTTTGTGGGGGAGGGTTGCAGGGGGGTTTGTCACCGTGAAACCTGCAGCTCCAGTCGCCAGTGTGCCCGTCGCTCCAGTCGCCCGTCGGGTCCGTTGCTCTAGCCGTACGAGCGGAATGCTCTAGGCGTACGAGCCAGTCACCCCAGTGCCCGCGAGCCAGTGCTCCAGTAGCCCGTGAGCTAGCAGCTTCAGCCGTCGACCACCTCCTCCTCTCCTCTCTCTCTTTCCTCATCCTCACTTGCCCTCTCCTTCCGCTGCGCCTTGGTGTACCCCTGCAGGTCCTTGCACTGGTTCCTGCAGCAAACTGTTTAGGGGGTGTGTTAAACTTATGTTTATGATATAAACTGTTTGCTGCAGTTACTGTAGTGTTTGTGTTATTTCCTGTAGGTGGTGCACCTCCCTTCTTTCCTATATGTATCTTCTCTCCATATTGAATCCTCCTCTTTGGCCAATTCTCCATCTCGCTACTCTCCTTACCAAACCCTAGTCTCCTAAGTTAAACCTTATCTCAACAGAATCTTTCCCAAAGAAAGGCGCGTCACCAGTTCCTCGCGGGGCCTTCGCGAATGCTTTCGCGGGGAATTGACGGGGATTTCACTGGACTATGACATAAGTGTCACCAATAGAATTTGAAAACTGGTTTCCAGCAAGCAATAGGTTTCCCAAGTGTTGTATTCAACTGACTAGTACAATTGCTTTATACTCTACCCCACACACATGTAACCAAACCCAAAAAAACGTGTCCCACTAGCAACCCTTGGTAACATAACTTGTCCCACACTCCAAGTGTCACGTCGAGTCGCACACGCAACCGACCCTGCTTCGTCGAACACTCCCAAAGTCCGAAAAACAGAAACTTGTTGAACACGCCATGAACCTAACCCAATTTCTTCCCCCGTCAAACCATTCTTCAACCCTAGTCAAATCTTCACCACTCTTCCTCCCATTTCACTCCAACTTCTTCCCGTAGTTTCTCCTTATGTAGCTCACACGCCTCGCAAGGAGCTTCTTCGTGCTTTCTTCTTGCTTCTTCAACAGCCACCGTGTAGTTTCCGCCGTAGGTCCGAATTTCGCCGACGCGTAGTGTGGTTCCACGAAGCACCTCCAACAATACAGCCCCTTATGTGTCACCCATGCGGCCCCCTCATGCATTCCCATGCGTGCATCAGGCGCCCCATGTGCCGCCATCACCCTGTGCCGCCATCACCCTGTGCCGCCATCATCCTGTGCCGCCATCACCCTGTGCCGCCATCACCCCATGCCGCCATCACCCTGTGACATGTTTCCGTGCCTCGTTGCACCCCCACCGCACCTCACGCACCCAACTCCACTCCACAAGTCCCACCCACCCATCCATCCCCACTCCACCCATCCCAACCCACCCACACCACACAGGCTGGTAACGGTGTTTGGGCGGATACAGGAGGACCCATGGGGGGCGCACAGCAACCTGACTCAGCGGCTCTTCGCCAACTACATCTTGCGCACTCAGGCCGCCCGCCCCTGGGTGCACGCCATTGCCTACGGGGCCTTTGTTAATGGCTCCGACAGGTGGGCCCTTCCCCCCTCTTCCCCCCCGCCCTCTCCACAGCTGCTGCGCTGCTGCTGCTGCTGCTGCTGCTGCTGCTGCTGCTGCTGCTGCTGCTGCTGCTGCTGCTGCTGCTGCTGCTGCTGCTGCTGCTGCTGCTGCCGCCGCCGCCGCTGCCGCCGCCGCCGCCGCCGCCGCCGCCGCTGCTGCTGCTACTGCTGCTGCCGCCGGCCACTTCTCCTCACTCTCTCCCTCGCACTTCCTTCACCTTCTTCTCATGTGCCACCTCTCTCTCTCTCTCTCTCTCTCTCTCTCCTCCCTCTCTCCCTCCATCCCCTCCCCCCTTCACGTCTCTCGCCATCTCAGTCTGTGTGTGTGTTTTCGAGTAAGCTGTGCGGTAGTAATTCTAGGCAAGCCGCCTGAGCCGGGGCGAGCCGGTACGGCTTGTCTTTCTGCCAGATCTGCGCGGGTCTGGCATTGGAACAAGCGGGAAGCTAGTGGACAATGCCGATAGACAGGCAAGCTCACGAGTCGCCTACCGGCTCGATTTGTGACAAGTTTATGAGCCGAGCTGATGAGCAGCGCTGCGGAACTGCGAAATTTCGGTTTACATTTCCCTGTATTTTCCCCTGCCCTTGTAACATCTCCTGGCATCTCCTGCGGGGCGGTTTTTGAGCGGCGGTTGGGGTGCGTAGTGGGGGACATGCAGGAGAGGGCTGCCCCACCTGCAGACTGGTACATGGACATGCGCTTCTGGTGCGACGGGCAGGGCCCCTTCCCCTTGGTTGAGAGCAGCACCACTTGCTCCGATGGGTGCCTGCACCCGTCGTACGGGCCGGAGCTGACGCGCATGAAGGAGACTGGTGCTGCCATCCTCGCCACGCCTTATTTTCTCAACAATGGCCATCCCGGCATGGGTGGGTGAGCGGGCGCACAGGCGTATGATGGTATGAGGAGTGGGTTCTCCTCTCCCCATGCATGTTGGCATGCGTCTCTCCTTGGTGTTCTCTGCATCCCTAGCTCCTGTCCCTCGCGCTTTCTTATTGCTGTCCGTATTTCTGTCTCGTCGTCCCTTCCCCTTCTGTCAGATCCACTTCTTTCTAGTTGGTTGTCCATTCATCTCATGTCGACTCGCTTTCTTCTCCCATTCTCCAGCCATGATGTTCCCGATATTCAGAGGCAACGTGACGGCAACATCGCCGTGGGAAGAGAGGCAGGCAGCGATCATCATCGGCATGGCAGCATCGGAGGACTTTGATCGTCTTGCCAAATCCATCATTCTTGAAGTGCTCCGACAAGGTGTGCAGTGCGGTTGGCCGTGGTGAGAATGAGCAAGCTATGCTGTCATTACCAGCACCAACTGTGACTTGACTTTTTCAATACTGTTGCGCGGAACAGGTACTGTTTCGGGAACTAGGCTGTTAGTGTTTCCGCACAACAAGGTAATCAGCAGGGCACGAGAATCTTCACTGATGAGATTCAAAGGCGCCCACCTTCCCTCCTTGTATTCTCCTTGTGCATTCGCCCCCACCATTCCACCGGCTTAGCGACGGCGTATTGTATTCCTGCATGCAAGATGCCTGCATGCAAGATGCTAGCATGCTGCTCCTGTCACATGCCTGCCGCGTTGTGCTAACCAAAGCAGAGCATTCCCCCCGTGCTGCTGCACTGCAGACATGGAGCATTCTCTTGAGGTCTATGTCCTCACCTCCACAGATAGTCATTTTTGAGTCGACTCAAAAGCATTCCCCTCGTGCTGCTGCAGGCGTGGAACATTCTCTTGAGGTGTATGACGTCACCCTCACAGATGGTCCACGACTGCTTCTGAGTCGACTCAAAAGCAAAGTCACACGCTTGCTGCGCTGTGCTAACCAAAGCAAAGCATTCCCCTCGTGCTGCTGCACTTCAGGCGTGGAGCATTCTTTCGAGGACTATGATGTCACCCCCACGGATGGTCATTTTTGAGTCGTCTCAAAGACATTTCTCTTGTGCTGCACTGCAAGCGTGGAGCATTCTCTGGAGGTGTATGACGTCACCCCCACGGATGGTCCCCGCCTGCTGTATGGGGTGGGGGGCTTGGACGTGCCTCAAGGCGACCCCTTGCAAGTGGCCAAGATTATTCCGCCCTCCAACGAGACCATGCTGCAGCCACAGCGGCACAAGTCAGTGCAGCAGATCAACCTTACAAATACATCGAGAACGTACCAGCTCTGGTGCCGGTGAGTTGCTTCCAGGCAAGCACTGTCCATTTTTTCCAAACCGCTCCTCTATGCCAATTCATGTTCTGGTGTGCTCTGCTTGTCCGGTCCGTAAATCTTGTTTCTCTTCCTCCTCACCTCACAGTAATTCCTCCTCCCACTCACAACCCTCCCCCTCACAACCCTCCTCACCTCCATTCCATCGGCTCCCTTTGACCCAATGCGCCTCCCCTACCACCCAGCTTCCAGGGCTCGGACGAGGCCCACAGCATGACGGCTGTGTTCCTGGGGGTGATCATTGTGGTGGTGGCGGCGCTGCTGGCTGCAATCGGCGTGAGCGTGACAGTCAACACGCGGAGGCTGCGAGAGAAGACTATTTCTATGGCGATGCTCAAGGAGAAGGCGGAGGTGGCGGAGCGCAACAAGGGTGTGTTCATCGCCAACACGTCGCATGAGCTGCGCACCCCGATCTTTGGCATGGAAGGTTCGTGGCAATGAGGTGCATGGGTGACTAAGAATGGCCATGAGTGGCCATGAGTGGCTATGAGGGACCCTGAGTTCCCTGCGCGAAAGAGCCGTCTCAAAACGTCAAGGAGGGAGCTTTCTTCCGTTTGATGTCTCCCTGTTCCGAAGGCCCTGATCCCGTTTGTGAAGTAAGATCCATTTAGATGATACAGTCACAAGCATTCACTGCTCTGTGCTCATTGTTACATTTGTGAGTCTTCACATTCTAATCTCTGCAAAATACCACTCGCTGTGCCGACCACCCGACAGGAATGCTGAAGCATCTGGACGAAGGAGGGCTGGGAGAGGGGCAGAGGGAGGACGTGGGGGCAGCAGTGGAGGAGGCGGAGAAGATTCTGAGGCTCGTCAACGCCGTGCTGGACGTGTGCAAGGCGGAGGTCGGCCGCTTGCATCTGGAGAGCCTGCCCTTTGCCCTCCGCCCCTGGCTGAGTGACGTGCTGCACCCATACGTGCAGGCTGCTCAGGAGCGCAGCCTGGAATGTAATCGCTCTCACTCTCTCACCCACCCGTCTCTTGATCGCCTGTTTATGCTTGCGTTTATCTTCTTGCATGTGGTTGATTATTGCTTTCTAACCAAAGTTGGCCTGCTTTTCCAGCGTGTGCATGTGGGTGGGTGCGTTTTCAGTCACATGGCATGTGGAAGAGGATGTGCCCAGTGTGCTGGTGGGGGACTACCTGCGCCTGCAGCAAGTAGTCGACAAAATAGTCGGTGAGTAAATTGTCAAAACACATGCATTGGGGATCCCCGATTGATCCTAGGGAAGGGCTATGGGCACGCTTGTCTGGAGAATTATGTACACACTCACCCGTTGCTTAACATGCATTTTTATCCCAGTGGTAGTGGTTGGGATTTTGACATGGTATCAGAGCGAAAACCTGGAGTTCGAATATTGTAATGAAAGGGGTGTAAGAAAACTTGCACTAGGGATCTCCGATTGATCCTATGGAAGGGTAACATCCATGCTTGCATAGGGGATTATGTTTGCACTCACTTGTTACTGAACAAGCCATTTTATCCCAGCGGTGTAGTGGCTGGGATTCTGACATGGATCAGTCAAATCATGATTGAATGACTAGCTCTAGGTGAGGATGAGGTTGGATGGGTTTGCTTGCACATAAGGATGAGGCGAGATGAGTTAAGCCACCCTCCATTGGAGTTGAGTAGAGTTGAGCCAACGTTGACCCTCGCCCAACTCGACAGTCCACATTTGCCCAACTCGACAGTCCACATTTTGCCCAACTCGACAGTCCACATTTTGCCCAACTCGACAGTCCACATTTTGCCCAACTCGACAGTCCACATTTTGCCCAACTCGACATTCCACATTTTGCCCAACTCGACAGTCCACATTTTGCCCAACTCGACAGTCCACATTTTGCCCAACTCGACAGTCCACGTTTTGCCCAACTCGACAGTCCACATTTTGCCCAACTCGACAGTCCACATTTTTCCCAACTCGACAGTCCACATTTTGCCCAACTCGACCCACATTTTGCCCAACTCGACAGTCCACATTTTGCCCAACTCGACACTCCACATTTTGCCCAACTCGACAGTCCACATTTTGCATGGGTGTTGGCCTGTCTCTCGTACTTTGTAGGTGAGCCCATCAAGCCGGGATGAGCGAATTTCTGTAGTCGAAACGAATTTCTTTCCTTTGGCCTGAACAGGCTCCTGCATTTCACCTCTGCGAGCCGACAAATTGGACTTCTAATGCACTACATCCCATTCACCTTCACTTCACCGTTCTTCACCATTCTCCACTGTCTCCGTTCTGCGAACTCCCTCCCCCCTGCCCCCCAGACAACGCCATAAATTTCACGGCCAGCGGAGGCGTGTGCGTGCGGCTACAGTGCCTTCCTCCAGACACCCACATCCCCACCCACGTGCTCTCCCTCGGCTGCCTCCTCGCTCAACCCACCCCTGCAGCTGCTCCTTGCCTGCTGATGCTGCTGTCACCAACCTTGATGTTGCCGCTGCTGGTGCTACCACCGCTGATGCTCCCACTGCTGATGCTGCCACTGCTGATGCTGCCAGTGCGGCTGTGCATCGGAACGAAGTGGGAGAGCCGCTTTTTAAGATGTCCTTCTGACAGCAGGTGGGGCAGCGAGGGCTGGCGAGGGCAGTGACAAATGTATGCAATAAACGTGTGTTCCGGAGAAGCTTGTCTGTGCAGTGCCTTGGATGCTACTGGTGTATGCCGCCCGTGCAGGAGGGAGGGTCGGAGCAGGAGGAGAGCGAAGTGAGGGGGGGGAGCGAGGGGAAGAGGGAGAGGGAGGAGGGGAAGGAGAGGGAGGAGGGGGAGGAGAGGGTAAGCGTGCGGGGCGAGAGGGTGGTGGGAGGCGGAAGCAGAGGCGAGAGGGTGTGCAGTGAGTTGAGCGAAGTCAGGGGTGGTGCTGCATCATGGGGTTCTGGAGATGAGGAGCAGGGTGAGCATAGGGGGGAGGGGTCATGTGATGTTGTGCATGGAACAAGAGCGCGTGATGAGGATGCTGTGAGTGAAACAGGGAGGACAGCACAAGGGGGTGGCGGTATGGGCTGGTGGAGGGGAGCATTGGGGAGGTGGTGGTGTGGGCAGGGCAGAGGAGATTGCACAGTGGTGGAGGAGGGTTCTGAGAAGCGCTGTGTGGTGCTGCTGACGTGTGAGGAGAGCTCTGAGTATGTGCGTAGAGGCACTAAGGCGTTCATGCAGGTGAGCTGTGCTCCTTATGCCGCTGATGCACGTGAGCTGTGCTCCTTATGCCGCTGATGCACGTGAGCTATGCCCCTTATGCCGCTGATCCACGTGAGCTGTGCCCCTTATGCCGCTGATGCACGTGAGCTGTGCCCCTTATGCCGCTGATGCACGTAAGCTGTGCTCCTTATGCCGCTGATGCACGTGAGCTGTGCCTCTTATGCCGCTGATGCACGTGAGCTGTGCCCCTTATGCCGCTGATGCACGTGAGCTGTGCTCCTTATGGCGCTGATGCTGGTGAGCTGTGCTCCTTATGCCGCTGATGCACGTGAGCGGTGCTCCTTATGCCGTTGATGCACGTGAGCTGTGCCCCTTATGCCGCTGATGCACGTGAGCTGTGCTCCTTATGCCGCTGATGCACATGAGCTGTGCTCCTTATGCCGCTGATGCACGTGAGCTGTGCTCCTTATGCCGCTGATGCAGGTGAGCTGTGCTCCTTATGCCGCTGATGCACGTGAGCTGTGCTCCTTATGCCGCTGATGCACGTGAGCTGTGCTTCTTATGCCGCTGATGCACGTGAGCTGTGCTCCTTATGCCGCTGATGCACGTGAGCTGTGCCCCTTATGCCGCTGATGCACGTGAGCTGTGCCCCTTATGCCGCTGATGCACGTGAGCTGTGCCCCTTATGCCGCTGATGCAGGTGAGCTGTGCTCCTTATGCCGCTGATGCACGTGAGCTGTGCTCCTTATGCCGCTGATGCACGTGAGCTGTGCTCCTTATGCCGCTGATGCACGTGAGCTGTGCTCCTTATGCCGCTGATGCACGTGAGCTGTGCCCCTTATGCCGCTGATGTCATGCGGCTGATGCCATGCAGCTGATGTCATGCGGCTGATGCCATGCCGCTGATGTCATGCGGCTGATGCCATGCCGCTGATGTCATGCGGCTGATGCCATGCGGCTGATGCCATGCAGCTGATGCAGGTGAAGCAAGCAACAGTGCACTCGAAGCAAGGACGCAGTGAAAAAGCATTGTATACGACCTCACACGAAGTGGTTTTTGTGAATACTCAAAAACCAGGTCGTAGTATGCGACCTCACACGATCATCGGCTGAACATCACTACCTTCCATCCACGTGATAGTCTTTAGCACACTGCCTGCTTGCATTCTCATGCGTCTCACACCACCCACCCACCCATTCAGACCCGAAAGCACGGAGGCAGCGGTATGAGCCTGCACTTGTGTCGCCAGCTGGTGGGTCTCCTCTCGCAGCCATTCAGCCTTTTTTGTCAGCTGGTGGTTTTTTATGGGGGGGTGGGCAGCTGATGGTTTTTTTTGGCAGCTGATGAGTTGTTTGTTTCTACAGTTGCTAGGTCCTGTTTGACAGCCTAGCCAGGTTCTTCTTCACACCCCCATAGTAGGCTGTCTTCCTGTCATCCATGCCTCTGAAACAATTGATGTGTGTTTTTGCTTCCAACTCTCCCGCTATCTCATACTGCCACATTCACACACAATCACACACACATTCACCCACATTCACCCACATACACCCACATTCACCCACATTCACCCACATTCACCCTCATTCACACTCATTAACCTCATACCTGGTGGTGTATCACACTCACAGACAACCATACACCCCCAACACCTCCTCCCCATGGTAGGTATCCCTCATGGGCGGCAGCATTGGGTTGATCAGCACAGAGGGTCACGGCACCACGCTGCACGTCGCTCTGCCCATGCCTGTTGCTGCTGCCGCTGCCGCTGCCGCTGCCGCTGCCACTGCCACTGCCACTGCCACTGCCACTGCCGCTGCCGCTGCAGCTGACGATGGTGACTCTTGTCCAGCCAGCGCTAATGTGTCTGAGCCAGCGGCCACTTGTGCTGCTTCTTCCTCTACTGCTGGCGGCGAAACAAAGGGCGTGGAGACGAAGAGCGCGAGGGATAGCTTGAAGGAGTTGCTGCAGGGCAAGGCGATTCTGGTGAGATGCAAGGCAACGCGTTCGGAGACGAACCAATCTAGACCAGGACACCAATTTTCCACCCCGCAATGCAGACTACCCTGAGGACGCTTCCACTTGCTCCTGTTTGTCACTCCTCACCAACACTTCCCCAACCTACCACTTGGTCTCCTCGCCGCACTCCCTCGCCACACTCCCGGCAACCCACTTCCGTCATCCCCTCACCTCACCACACTGTGACCATCCGCATGTCATCTCTGTCCGTTCTTCACCCCTCTCCACCTTCCCTGGATGCCCCTGCACTCTACCTGGCCAAGTGGTGGACGACAACCCCTCAACCGTCCCTTTGTTCTCACCACTCTCAACCCCTCTGTATCCCCTTGTGCTGGCCAGGTGGTGGTCGGCAACGCCATCTGCACCCCTCTGTTCTCACCCCTCTGCAACCCCCTATAACCCTACACCCCTTCACACCGGACGACAACTTGGTCAACCGTCTCTCCGTTCTCATACCCGCCATATCTTCTTGTAACTCCCCGTGCTGCCAGGTGGTCGACGACAACCTGGTGAACCGTTCTCAGCCCCTCTGCACCCCTCTTATGTCCCCTGCACTCCTCAGGTGGTGGACGACAACTTGATCAACCGGCGGGTGGCGGCGAGCACGCTGGCGCGGTACGGGGCGGAGGTGGCGCTGGCAGAGTCGGGCGAGGCGGCACTGCGCCTGCTGCAGGCGTGCCACTCCTTCCGCCTCGTGCTCATGGACCTCTACATGCCTGGCCTTGATGGCTTCCACACCACCGCCCGCCTGCGCGCCTTCGAGGCCGCCGCTCAGACAGCCGAGGTGGGGATGCAAGAGGGCCAGGGTGCAGAGGGAGAGCAAGGGAGCGAGGCGGTGCAGGTGGGACAGGGAGCCCAAGGCGTGCAGCGCATGTCAGCAGTGGGGGAGAGTGGGGCAGAGAGCTGGCGGCAGCATCGGCGTGTTCATGTGGTGGGCCATGTCAGCAGACGTGGACAGCAGTGTTGTCGCCCGTGCCACGGAGGCTGGCATGGATGGATCTGTGCAGAAGCCACTCAATGAGAGAGTGCTGCTGCAGGTGCTCTCAAGACTCAGTGGTTTGTAAGTAACAGTACCAGAAGCAGTATCGTGTCGGCATCACTAACTAACCTGGTCGGATGGTTTGTAACGTAAAGCACTCAGTTATTGTATTGCATCACTAACCCAGTCTGTTTCTACTTTTGTACCGTTCTTTTCTTATTGTTTAATTCTTTGTTTGGTCTTTCAAATAATCGCACAAAGGAGTTACAGTATTGTACCTCAACAAGCTTGGTACAATGGAATTATCGTCGATGCCATGTAAATCTTCAATGTGAAGTGACCATATGGATCGCCGCCTGGATCGCCATCTGCCTTCGTGTGGATGGGAGGCTTCAGTCGGGGACAGGGAGTAGACTTCTTTCATACTTCACCCACCCCGAAGATACTAACCACTTTTCAGATTGTTGTACATAGGAGCACAGCGTGACTACGATCTTCACTAAATAGATCTTTCTACTACACTTCTCTAGGGCAGCCTCCACGAGCACATCTACTGGTAGATGCTTCGTCCGTTCCACCTGATTTTACTGTAGACCCTGTTATAGTCACAGTAGGCTTCAATATGCCTAAAACGAAAGATAGAGTGCGCAGTCAGGTTTCTGCCCAGCGGCTTCAAACAATCATAGCTATCTAGTCACAGCTCCAATTGACTTCATTCAACTTGGATCTGGAGCGTCTTAACGTCGCCTACAATAGGAAATTTAGATCGCACGATTTCATTAAGATTTGACGACACAGCATCAGTTTGAACGAACGGCACTATGGCAGCAACTTAGTCTTAGAAACACAATTACGAACAGCTAGGAAGAGTTACGAGTTGGGAAGGACTCCCAGCTCCTAGAAACCCCAAGAACCGAGCTACAGTGATGGGGAACAGTGCCACACTGTCCCCAACCAAGAAGGGTCTCGAAACTACCCTCCACAAGGGCCTACACCCACAGAAATGTTACACTACACATTGTAATGTAACTATCTTCAATATCTTGAGGTGTAGCCTTTTTGGCGAGCTTCGAAAACACTTGAAGCTTGAACCAAGGCTCGGGTTCTTCATCACAAAACTCATCCTTGAGTTCTTGATGGGCCTGCTGCACACACCTGCGACACGCCGAACGTTCGACAATCGACAAAATAGAAACCGCGCACGACAAAATAGAAACCGCGCGGGACACACAAAATAACCGCGTAATACGCGGCTAGCGATAACTCGCTATAGACTCGACACACACACACTCAATGCATGACCCATCATGCACACACAATATAAGCATGAAATATATAATTATTTCATGCACTCATACCACTCCATGCACACATGCATGCACGCACACGGACAACAAACCGAGTGCAAACCGTAGGTTGCACCAACAAACTCCCCCTCGGGTTGTTGGCCTTAGGAACTTGCTCTCTCAGTTCAGAGCCATCCCAGCCAGCTTGCAACACTTCCAATGCTGCTGCTCCACCAGCCTCTTGGTCATCATGTCTGCCGGCTGCCCCGTCGTCTTCACGTAGCGCAACTCGACTTCACCCGCGGCCACCATGCTCCTCGTCCAATGCCACTTCACCCTCATGTGCTTGGTCAGACCATGTAACACAGGGTTCTTGGCTAGAGCTATGGCTCCCTGGCTGTCACAATAGAGAGGGGTTGGTCCTTGCTGCTCCTCCCCCAATTCAGCCAACAAACGCCGCTGCCACACAATCTCCCGTACGGCACGGAAGAGTGCCATGTACTCGGACTCCACCGAGCTCAATGCTTGGTCCACCTGCTTCTTGCTCTCCCAAGCAGTTGGGCCTCCACCAACACAGCAAATGAACCCTCCAACACTTGTCATGTCCTCTGGTTCAGAAGCATAGGAGGCATCCGAGAATGCGGTGAGGAACAAACGCCCGGGTTCCACACCATCCGCGCCCTTTTGGCGCCTTTGTGCCGCTGCCGAATATTGCAGCCCAACGGTCGGTGTTTGGCCAAGGTACTTGGCCACCCTCATTCCAGCTGCTACCTGCTCCTCATTAGGGCATTGCACCACCCTAGCCAGCTGCCCGGTAGCAAACGCGACATCCGGTCGTGTGTTGACTGCCGCGTACATGAGGCTGCCCACCAACGAGTGAAAACGGCGCCTCTCCTCTTCACCCACGCTCTCCTCCTCTGGTCCCTTCACACACTTGAACCCAGAGGGAAAGGGTGTAGCCACATGGCCTTCATTCTAACCAAAGTTGGCAGCCAATGCCTCCAGGTACTTGCGTTGGTGCACCCGCATGCACCGCTTCTCCACGTCTCGTTCGATGTGGAGCCCGAGGTAGAAGTTCACGTCCCCAAGGGACTTGCACTTGAACTTGTCTTGCAGCTTCAGCATCACCTCCTTCACAAGGTCAGAGGAGGGTGAGAAGATGAGGATGTCGTCCACGTACACGACCATGAAGCTCCTCTGCTCCCCCTCGCCAAGCATGAACAAGGAGTGATCGGCCGTTGAGGGAGTGAAGCCGATCTCCTCCAACACACCGCGCAGCTTCAGGTACCACTGCCTAGGGGCCTGCTTCAGCCCATAGAGGGCCTTCTTCAGCTTCCACACTCTGCCGCTACCATCGTCAAACCCCTCTGGCTGCGCCATGAAAATCTCCTCCTCGAGGATTCCGTTGAGGAACGCCGTGACGATGTCTAGCTGCTTCACCACCCAACCTTTGATCGCGGCTCCCGCGAGTAGGGTTCGCAGCGTCGTCGGCTTCACCATAGGAGCAAACAGCTCCTTGTAGTCCACATTCTCCTTCTGCTGGTACCCCTTGGCCACCAGCCTAGACTTGTAGCGCTCGATCACGCCGTCGGCATCCGACTTGATCTTGAAGAGCCACTTGGACGTTATCGCCGTACGCCCCTCCGGTAGCTCCACCAATTCGTACGTGTCGTTCTCCTCAATGCTCTTCAGCTCACTCTCCATTGCCTTCTTCCACTCCTCAGCATCACCACTCTCCAAGGCCTCCTTGAGAGTTGCTGGTTCTCCCGGCATCTCCACCGGAGAGAAGAATGCGAAGGCACACTCCTCGTAGTCACTCTCCTCGTCGTCTCCGACCATCATTGCCGCTCCAGCTAGGGCCGTCTTGCCCTGCTTCCCTGGCGCATCATAGGTCAGTCTATTAGGGGCTTGGACTCTCCTCTTGCCCCTTCCTTCCTCCTCAGCTGCAGGGACTTGAAGGCCTTGGCGTTGCTGCGGTGTGGTGCGGTTCCGTGGAGCGCTCGTAGTGCGGGAAGGGAGCGTCGGTGCACGCTCGCTCACTTGCTGCACCTCCTCCTCCTCCTCTTCCTCTGCATCCTTGGCCTCCTCTCCCCCATTCACAAGGGAAGATTGCCTTGTGGTGGTGCTGCCGCTGCTCAGCTCCAAAGGCAGCTCCACGTGCTCCAACCCGGAACTCTTCACCTCCCCAAACCGCACGCCTATTTTCGCCTCATTCTCCGCCTTCCAATCCTTGTACATGAAGTTCTCCATGAACTTGCAGTCCCTGCTCACCATGAACTTCTTGGTGAATGGGTCCCAAAGAAGCCACCCCTTGCTGTTTTGAGCCATGCCCAAGTGCACGGCCCACACCGCCTTGGCACCAAGCTTGTTGTGCCGAAGATGCTTAGGTACGAGCGCCATGCACATGCACCCGAACACCCGAAGCATATCCACCTTTGGCTTCCTGCCAAGCCACTCCACATAGGGCACCCATTTGTCTGCTCCCACATGAGTCAAGACTCTGTTCTTGGCCACACACGCGCTCCGCACCGCATCAGGCCAGAAATAGTCAGGTAGCCCGGCTTCAATGAGCAACCCGCGTGCCGCCTCCGTGATCGTCCGGTTCGCACGCTCGGCGATGCCGTTCATTGCAGGGGAGTATGGCATGGTGAGGGAGTGCCGAATGCCGTTCTTCTTCAGCCACAACCCAAACTCCTTGCCCAGGAACTCTCCCCCTCGATCGGTGCGGATCGACTTCACAAGTCGGTCTTGTTGCCGCTCCACCATCGGGAGAAAGTCGGTCTTCAACGTTTCAGCCACGTCACTCTTCTTGGCCAGCACGTACACCCACGTCATGCGGGTGTAGACATCCACTATGGTGAGGAAATACTCTGCTCCAGCAGCTCCAAGCTTCAGGGGGCCCACCACGTCCATCACCACTTCATCAAGCGGTGCCTTTGCCGTTGCCTCCGAACTAGAGAACGGAAATCGGGTGAACTTGGCTTGCAAGCACGTCGGGCAGCCAAGCACCTCATCGGGCTCCCCCTTCACACGTATGCCAGCAACCATCTGGTTCTTCACTAGCTGCTGCAAGATGGGCAACGCCACGTGCCCCATTCGCCGATGCAAGGTGAGCCAATCACACTCCCCCGTAGCCGAAGTCGGGTTGGAGAATGCCGCGCTCGCAATAGCGCCCCACATACTCTCTCCGTACTCCTCCTTCGCTGCTGCCTTGGGGTTCTCCTCACCCTTGTGCTGCTCCTTGGCTGCTGCACCACTCTCCTTATGGTCACACAGCTTGCTGGTCACTCCAGGTTTGCTCCTCTTGAGCTCGTTCTCCTTAGCGCGACCGTTCGCGCCATCGCCGCTACCAACCGCTTCACCCTTGGTGCTGGCGGTTGCTGCCACTTGCCTCTCCTTAGGCATGGGGACCACAGGGATCTGCCACATCTCGTTGTAGACGTCCCTATCCTCGTGAAGGTCCCATAGAATCCGGTCGCCAATCCTTGCGGTGTAGGTCTTGGCTCCCTTCGAGTTCGTGTCCATGCCGGCCTTTGCCAACCGCCGCACGGAAATCAGATTCGCAGCAAGGCTGGGCACCCAAAGCACGTTCTTGAGGCCCACCATCTTCCCATCAGCACCCTTGAACATGGCCTTGCCCATGCCCTTCACCTCTGCTCGCTGCCCCAAAGCCGATGTGACATGCTTCACCGGTGACGGCTCGAGTTCGGTGAGCAAGTCGGGGCGAGGTGTCATGCTGTAGGTAGCGCCGCTATCGATCACCCAAAAGTCCAGGGGGTGTAGGGTCACCTTCCCCACAGCTGCTGGCTCCTCAAGGTCTTCATCCTTCTCTGGACCAGCCGGTACTTGCGTCGACACGAAGTAGAATAGACCCGGGTACCGATCGCCGCTCGGGTCCTTGTCGTTATCTTCGTTCTTCATGTTCGCGGCTCCACCTCCGCGACCGCCACGGCCTCCACGGCCTCTGCCTCTCCCTCCTCCTGCTCCTCCACCCTCTTGGCCTTGAGCAGGGGTCCATCCTTCAGGGAGTTTGAAGCAATCGCGCCACATATGTCCGCTCTTGCCGCAATAGTGACACTCGCCATCGAATCGGCCGCGACCGCGCCCGTAGCTCTTGTCGTCGCCGCCGTAACCGCCACTCCCGCGGCCTCCGCCGAAGTTGCTGCTACCGAATCTTCCTCCCCCTCGTCCTCTGCCTCTTCCTCGGCCATATCCACGGCCGACGCTTGCTGCCCCAGCGCCATCCGCACTCGCCAACTCACGGCGGCGGAAGTCCTCTTGTAGGATCGCGCGCTTCACGTCTTCAAGCGAGAGACGGGGCAGATCACGGTTCAAGTTGATGATGAGGGAGGACCACGACTCGGGGAGTAAGGCCAGCAACTTGGTCTTTTTTCTGGAGCTCACTGTAGTTCAAATCAGCTCCCTCAAGCCGCGTCAACAAGTCGAAGAATTTCTGCACCCCGTCTTCCACGGGTTCATCTTCTTCAATTCGTAGCGTTGCCATTTGCCGTTCCAACACCACAGCTACCGCCGCTGTTGCAGGAGCGTGTACACCCTTGAGAGCAGCCCATGCCTTCGGTCTCTTCTCTGGATCACGCTGGAAAGGCTTGATGTGACGGATCTGGTTGCTCCCCAACGCTTGCCCAAGTAGGAGGTAGCCTTGTGCGCTCTTCCGCACCCACGGGCTCTTCTCCGGGTCGTTCTCGGGACGCTTCTCCGTTCCTTCCATCACCTCCAGCAGATCATAGTGGTCAAACACGTTCTCCATTCTGAAGGACCACTCAGCAAAGTTGTCGCCGTTGAACTTGTCAAGCCCGAACACTCTTGGCTCATCCCTTGAAGGCCCAAGAGTAGGTTGCACGGGCGCCACGGCTGAATCACGGGCTTGGCCTTGTGCTTGGGCTTCTCCATTGCCTCCAGCACCTCTGCCACCCCTCTCTTCAGGTCCAGCCATCATCGTAGCTGCTCCAAGGCGCTCTGATACCACTTGTTATAGTCACAGTAGGCTTCAATATGCCTAAAACGAAAGATAGAGTGCGCAGTCAGGTTTCTGCCCAGCGGCTTCAAACAATCATAGCGATCCGGTTACAGCTCCAATTGACTTCATTCAACTTGGATCTGGAGCGTCTTAACGTCGCCTACAATAGGAAATTTAGATCGCACGATTTCATTAAGATTTGACGACACAGCATCAGTTTGAACGAACGGCACTATGGCAGCAACTTAGTCTTAGAAACACAATTACGAACAGCTAGGAAGAGTTACGAGTTGGGAAGGACTCCCAGCTCCTAGAAACCCCAAGAACCGAGCTACAGTGATGGGGAACAGTGCCACACTGTCCCCAACCAAGAAGGGTCTCGAAACTACCCTCCACAAGGGCCTACACCCACAGAAATGTTACACTACACATTGTAATATAACTATCTTCAATATCTTGAGGTGTAGCCTTTTTGGCGAGCTTCGAAAACACTTGAAGCTTGAACCAAGGCTCGGGTTCTTCATCACAAAACTCATCCTTGAGTTCTTGATGGGCCTGCTGCACACACCTGCGACACGCCGAACGTTCGACAAGTGACAAAATAGAAACCGCGCACGACAAAATAGAAACCGCGCGGGACACACAAAATAACCGCGTAATACGCGGCTAGCGATAACTCGCTATAGACTCGACACACACACACTCAATGCATGACCCATCATGCACACACAATATAAGCATGAAATATATAATAATTTCATGCACTCATACCACTCCATGCACACATGCATGCACGCACACGGACAACAAACCGAGTGCAAACCGTAGGTTTCACCAACAGACCCTTTCCTCCTGTCACCGAATATGCATAATTATGCATATGCGGTGCCAGGTTGTGCGGTGTAGTTATGGTTTAGCAATGTTGGGTATGCATATTCGAGGGTAGGAAGGTGGGGTCCAAGGAAGTTGACGCGAAGTTGGTAGGAGAGCACCAAGGGGTGAAATCCATGCAACCAATGGGAACGAACCAACCCAGGCTCGAGCCGCACATTGAGAAATGCACGGTTCGAGCCTGGGCCAGGTAAATTCACTCTCACACACACACCCGATGCTTTCCGCTTGTTATCCTTTCGCATAGTGGATAGTTGCTACCTTAACCTTGCAGCTAGGTGGTACACCACTCAGGGAGGACCCTTGAGGTGAGTGATCCAACTCTTTCATGACAAGCGGAAAGGTGCGCGTACAAGCATGGATGTGTACGAGCTGCGTTATGGCAGGAACTACGGTCGCCGTGAGGAGGATCGCTCGTGGCGCGGACGCTCACGTGAGCGCGGGCGTTCGTTGGAAAGGTTGCCGCGGAGGCCTGAGCGATCGCCGCGGAGGCCAGCCTTTCGTGCGTATCAGGTCCCCCTCGCGCCAGATCGCCAGGAGGGAGGATCCGCTCGAGAAGGAAGAGGCGGATCTGGATCTCCCATGATGGGGAGTGACCCGTGGCGGACGGATGCGTGCCGCAGAGCTGGAGACGATCGTGGGCATCGTCAGGACACGGGAGCGTATCGCTCGCCGGAAGATGGTTACCGCCATTGCGAAGATCGGAGTCGCGGGCGTGGCCTGGAGGAATTGTTCTCTGGTCGGCAGGGCGATCTCGATGTTGACGGAGAGGAAGAGGCCGACACGGCGAATAAGGCACAGGAGCCGAATCGCGAAGGAGAGGCGAAGGGCGAAGACAAAAATCAGGAGGAAGGCGCAGGCGAGCAGCGCGATATGCCCGCTGGAGTCAAGGAAGCCGACCCTGCGCAGGCGAGCGTGGTGGCGGAGCCGAGCGCGGTGGAGGCGGAGGAAAGAGTGGTGCTCGGAACCAGCCACGTGGCGGAGAGAAGAACGACGGCGGAAGGCGTAGCGGTGGCTCACGCTCACCGGATCCGCGTCAGCATCGTGACGGGGGGCGAGGCGGCGGCGCGCGTTCGCCAGATCTGCGGCAGAATCGCGACGAGGGGCGCGGCGGCGGCGTACGTTCGCCAGATCCGCGGCAAAATCGTGATGGGGGACGGGGCGGTGGCGCGCGCTCGCCAGATCCGTAGATGCAGCATGACGGGAGGCGCGGAAGCGGCTACCACTCGCCAGATCCGCGGCCGCTGCGTGATGAGGGGCGCGGAGGCGGCTACCGCTCGCCAGATCCGCGGCAGCACCGGGACAGTGGGCGCGCGGGCAGCGCGCACTCGCCAGATCCGCGGAGGTATCACGGCGGGAGGAGCGAAGGGGACTCACGCTCACCAGGCCCTCATCACTATCGTGATGAGAGACGCGGAGGTGGCTATTGCTCGCCGGACACGCGACGGTACCGTGAAAAGAGGTGGGGAAGCGAGACGTACTCGCCTGACTGGCGCCTGCAACATGAATAAAGCCGGGGAGGCGGATACCGCTCGCCGCATCGGCCAGGAAGCCGGGATGAAAGGCGTGGCGGTGGGTCTCGCTCGCCTGGCCGGTATTGGCAGCGTGATGGAGGACGTGCCGGTGAGGGAGGACAGGATCAACGCGGCAGCAGGGGGGGAGGCAGCGGGCTGATGCACAGCCTGGAGCGAGTCAGAGAGGCAAGGGAGGGAATACAGCGGGCGAGAGAGAGAGGGGCACCAGGGAGATCAGCAAGAGGGCCGAGTGAGACGTGGGGGGAAAGTAAGGGAAGCACAGCCATGGTCACGAGGGTGGAAGTGCCAGCACGCTTCTCGGGAGATCAGCGCATGGGGCCCACGCTTAAGAAATACTTGATGCAAGTAGGCAATGTGCGGTACAGGTGTGAGAGGAACGGCATGGTTTCTGTGGACTTTTTCCTGAGTCTGCCGAATACGTTGGAAGGGGAGGCGGAGACACTATACAGGATGAAGATGGATGAGCTACTGGAGAGGGCAGGGAGGTACGGGGAAGACCCAACGGAAGCATTCCTGAAGCGGTTGCAGCGGCAGTTTCCAGGTCACACCGCGGAGAAGATAAGGGAATTCCAGGATTTCAGGAAGGGGCGGGGTGAGTCGCTGCTCACCTACTACAACCGGCTGGTCAACCTGGCGGAGGATGTGACATGTGCGGATATGGGCCTTCTCGTAAGTAAATTCCTGGACGGGCTGGAGGGCACTTTGGGGAGCGGGCTGCGAATGAAGGTGTATGAGATGGGGGCGGACACGACGCTGGATGAAGTATTCGAGATGGCAGAGAAAATGGAGCTGGCACAGAGGAAATATGAAGCATACCGGCCCCGACCAGCAGAGCGAGGCAGGGGACCTACGTGGGCAGCAGCCATGATACCGGAGGAAAAGGACAGGACAGCAGGTAGAGGGGAGAACAGGCCAGACACGCGGACGTGCCACAGATGCGGGCAGCCGGGACACCTACGCAGAGACTGCAAAAACTGTGACTCCTGCGGCAAGCCAGGACACCGGCGGCGGGAATGTCCAACGGCGCCGTTGGGAAGGGAGGGCACGCAGCAAAAGATTGCTACCAGTGGGAGGGAATGACGAAGAAAACGCCAGAAGATTTGGAGAAGCAGATCAGTAGGTTGCAAGCCCAGCTGCAGGCAATGGGACCACGGCGCGAAGCTGAGGCGGGGATGTACGCCAGAGATGAGGAGGAGGAATATGTGGAGCAGGAAGAGAAAGCAGCGCTCTTGGCTTGGGGAGGAAGAGAGGAAAACGAGATAGAACATGAGGAGCAACCAGCTTACATGGCATGGAGAGGAAGGGAAGAAATGGGGCTGCGTAGTGGAGGAAAGGATGCACGGAGAGAGCAGGTGAGGAAGGAACGGGAGAGAGGACAGAAACCAGAAGAAAAGGAAGAGAGATGCACGGCTGCACGTCACCCCCAGGAGAGGTTGGCGTGCCAGACCTCCGTGCTGCTGATCCAAGGCGGCGCGCTGACAGTGGAGGGGGAGAAGGCGAAGACGGCTATCATAGACACCGGAGCGCAGAGCGTGATACTAGGGAAGGGGATGGCCGAGAAGCTAGGACTGTGGGCGCCAGACAGACACGTGGTGAAGGGGATGCTAGTAATGACGGCAGAGGGAGGAGAGTCCAAGTGGATGCCGTGCACGAGGACTCCGATAGAACTAGCGGTGCTGAAGGGGGAGAAACATGAAACGCCAGTAAGAACCAGGTGCGGGATTTCAGAGTCTGAAGATTTCGATGTGCTGGTGGGAACAGAGATGATCTTTGGATTGGGCATGACCATCTGCTTTTGGAAAGATACAGTGGAGTTCCGAACCAGGTGGTGGAGGAAAGGTGAACCGCTAGGGCAGCTGCCGGTGCAGTTTGTGAAGACAGAGCCAAAGAGGGCCTACAGTGCAGATCAGAAAGAGGTGACAGCGGAGCAGGGGGCACTGGAAAGCGCCTGGCAAAGGAAAGGGCGGGGAGCCTAGGATGCGCCTCATGGACGAGCCTAGCCAACAAACCGATTGGCAGCAACCCATTCGGCTGGTGGAGCTGTTCGGGGGAATAGGGGCGGGACTGACGGCAGTGGTGCGAAATGGGATAGCAGTGAAACCAGTGGATTTACGTGGAGCAGGCACCAGAAGTGAGAAAAATAGCGGAGCATCATGCGTGGGTGCTGCATAGAGAGTTTCCGGAGCTGCTGAAGGGAGAAGTGGTCAAGGCAGCAATGAGTAGAGGAGTGAACGATGTACGGGCTATCACGGAAGCTGAAGTGGCAAGCTGGGGGCATGTGGACCTGCTGGTGGCAGGGTGGGAATGCCAAGGGGTATCATGGGCAGGGAAGGGCAAGGGTGAACAAGACCCTAGGACCAAACTGATGGAGGAGCTGTTCAAAATCATGGAGTGGATACAGGGTAGGCAGGGCAGATTGGCTTACCTGCTGGAGCACTTGGACATGGAAGGAGATGTTCGGGAACCAGTAAGGCTGGTAAGGGAGAGAGTAAATAGGCAGGTGGGCAAAGGGGTGAGCAGTGACGCGGCGCGGATGGGAGCATATGCACACCGGCTCAGGATGTACTGGCAGAATGTGGTGCCAGTGGGAGACCTGCAGAAGGAGATAGAGGGAGTGCAGAGAGCAGGGGGGCGGAAGCTGAGCAATATACTGGAGCCAGGAAGAACCCCAGAACCAGTGACAAAAAGGAGCTACAGCAGACACTATCCATGCAACCAGGTGGGGCAGGAGAGGCAGGCATTACCCACCCTGGTGTCATATGAGGGGGCAGCAGGATATCGGATGGATGGGGAGCAGCCGGGCCTAGTACTTGTGCACGACCACAGGAAGGGACGCTGGGAAGAGCCCACGGCTCTGGAGAGGGAGCTGGCCATGGGGTACAAGGAAAACGCCACAGCAGCCCCTAGCATGAGTGAGAAGGAAAGGAGACGGGCATTGGGGAACGCTATGGATGGGTACATGATGAGATGGCTGGTGCAGCAGATGTGGAGAGAGACAGTGCTACACTGGGGACTGAAGGAGGGAGAAAGCACAGTAGCCACGGTCAGACAAGGGGTGTGGGCCTGCCTGCAGAAAGAGGAGCCAGAGTGGAAGATAGGTGAGAGCATGAGCGAGGAAGGGAAGGCAGCAATGCGAGCACTGCTGGCCAAGCACTGGAAGGGCTTCGCCTTCACCCTGCAGGAGTTGGGGAAGTGCAAGATCAAGGAGATGGCACTGAAGCTGAGCAGTGAGGAGCCGGTGTTCCACCGCAGGAGGAAGATGCCACCAGGGGATGAAGAGATATGTAAGGAGAAAATCAAGGAGCTGCTGGAAGCTGGTCTGATTAGGAGGTCAGAGTCAGAATACGCCACCCCGACTGTGGTGGCTGCCAGGAAAGACTTGACAGGCGAGGTGCTGAGCAAAGGAATGTGTGGAGATTATAGGGATCTCAACAAAATCACAGTGCAGGACAGATATCCGATGCCGATGGCTGAAGAAATCTTTGATAAGCTGGCGGATGGGGTGTTCTTCACAACGCTGGACCTGCGGCAGGGGTTCAATCAGATCAAGATCAGGGAAGAGGATGTGAAGAAAACGGCCTTTCACGGACCGGATGGGCTGTATGAGTGGCTGTACATGCCATTCAATCTGGGGAATGCCTCGGCAGTCTTCCAGAGGGTCATGGATGCGGTGCTGCGGGGAATAGAGCATGCGGCATGCTACATCGATGACGTGGTGGTCTTCAGCCTAACCGTGCAGCAGCACCTGGAGGACGTGGAGAGGACACTGACGGCAATAGAGGAGGCAGGGCTCACCTGTCATCCCAACAAATGCGGTTGGGGGGAGCAGACAGTACAGTACTTGGGGTACGAAGTGACAGGAGGGCAAATCGGGATTCAGTAGGCGAAGGTGCAGGTCCTGGACAGGTTAAGGGAGCCGAGGGACAAGTCCGGGCTGCGGGCGGTCTTGGGCTTCCTCAGCTACTACAGACGCTTCGTGCCTAACTTCAGCAAGAGAGCAGCGGTGTTGAATGGGCTGGGAGAAGACAAGGCTTGGGAGTGGGGAGAGAAGCAGAGAGAGGCGCTGCAAGACCTAATGACAGCAGTGAAGACGGCGACAGTGCTGCGGCTGCCAGCAGCAGACCAGCCCTTCATCCTCTACACCGACTGGAGCAGACAGGGGATGGGGGCAATACTTTGCCAAGAGGTGGAGGGAGTGGAGAAGGTGGTGGCCTACGCCAGCAGGAGTTGCAACCTGGCAAAAGCACAGTATAGCTCGTACATCGGGGAGGGGCTGGCGGCGGTATGGGCAGTGGGGCATTTCCGGATATACCTGCAGGGCAGAGAATTCACCTTGGTCACTTACCATCAGCCACTCACATGGCTGATGACCACACCAGGGCTGACAGGCAGGAACGCGCGGTGGGCAGTGAAGCTCCAGGAATATGACTTTCAGATTCGGCACCGACCGGGAAAGACACTGCAGCACGTTGATGGTCTCTCCCGCAACCCGCCGCCACTGGAGCAGGCACAGCCAGCGATGGAGACAGAGCAGACAGAGCGGGAACCTGCGCACACACTGATCCTGCTGGCCAGAGAGGTGGAGCAGATTGGCGCTAAGGGGAGTAAGGGACCAGCTGACATCTGGCTGGATGAGAAGGCGATGGAATGGGTGAAAGGAGAGACAGAGGAAGACGCGACAGTGTCTGAGAGGGTGAGGACACCACTACAGGTGGTATCAGCAGCAGCTGCAGATCAAGACCAAGGATGGCTGGAAGCTAGTGCCGGCACTACAGGAGCGAGAAGCAGTAATCAAAGAAGTGCACACCAAGCTGGGGCACTTCGGGCACGAGAGGACAGTGCATCTTCTGAAGACAGGCTGGTGGTGGGAAGGGATGCGCAGGCAAGTGAAAGAGTGGGTTGAGAAATGTGAGGCATATCAACGGAGCAAGGCCAATCTGACTCAGGCTAAGGCACAACTGCAGTCGCTGCCTATTTGCGGCCTGGGGTTTCGGTGGTCCCTGGATCTGGCGGGGGAGCTACCATTAAGCAGAAGTGGGAATCAGTACATAGTGCTAATGGCCGAGCATGTCAGCAAGTGGCTCGAGGTCAGAGCCATCCCTAGCAAGTGCGCAAGGCACGTGGCAGCAGCTTTTAAGG